TGCATGCATGCATGCATGCATTGCATACATAAATACATCATACAGATATACTTACATAGGTACACTGGTACATACATGCAAAAAAAACACAGGTACATGGATACCAACATACATAGATACAGAGCCAATCATAGATACATGAATACATGAATACATACATACGTACATACATACAGACAGACTGACATACATGCCTACAGACATACAGACATACATACATGCACGCATACATACATACATACATACATACATACATACATACATACATACACACATACACACACACATACATATGTACATACATACATACATACATACATACGTACATACATACATACATACATAATGTTACAGACATACACACCCACACGCCTGTGCACCTACATGTCGCTGTCAGGTATGGGGTGTTCTAGCATGCATGCATGCACACCTACCGCCTGTATACCTGGACCTGTACATACACACTTGCTGCATGCCCTAGAACTTTTGGCATATACGCACTTACATCTCTATCCGTGTCCACGTAAACAACATGTTAATGCTTCTCAGAATGAATGTCCATTATCTGGTGGAACGGTCTTACTAGAACCAGCACGTGTCTGTACATATGAATGCATGATCGAAGGCAGTGCGCGCCTGCATCTACATAGCTTGCTCTCAACCGACCGACATATTTACCGAATTTACCGATCGGTACACGAACTTGCTTGTTTGCGTGTGTGCACATAGTGGATACAGTCACTTGACGGTCATTACAAGGCGCTGCGCCCCCGACATGCTTCGATTCATTCACGCGCCTTATCCCTGTCTCCAATCTCATGCTACCCCACGACCAGAAACGCTCGAAAATCTAGACGCCGGTCTACTACCCCAACAGTAACCTTTGTAGCACCCTTGAAGGAATGCCAAACCCCTCAAGGCACCCAGTGGGCAGGAGGAGCAAAAAAGTGGTGAGCTTGTCAGGCCCAAGATCCCAAAAGGTCTCTGGTATGGGTTGAAGGCTAAGGGTTTGGGGCTCAGGGCTTATAGGGTTTAGGGTTTAGCGGTTTTGGCGGGTTTAGGGTTTTCGGGTTACAGTGTGGGGGTTCTTGGGCCTCAGGTCACGAATTAGTGCTTGAAAAGAGCCTGCCCCAAAGCTGCGGCGCTGCACGGTCATTCGTGTCTTTTGGTGAAGGGGCTGGGGGTAGGATAGCCAGTTCTAGCGTCACTAAGAACTACCAAGCATTATTGCTTGTTTGGCTCAGAGTGAAAAGAATCTTTCATCTGCCACTGGAAGCTGGTAATATCTAATGAACGTATGTATATATACATATATATATATATGTAGTTATAGTTATTTATTGTTTATTTATGTATTTTAATGTAATAATGCAATATACTCTATTATAAGAAAATGCCATAATATGATATGAGGGAGCATGCTCAAATCAGGCTCTACAGCCAGACGGCTCCTCTCGTGTGCAAATCGATGTACCAAACTCTTTTCACGTTTGTTGGCCTACGAGGAGATCGTCTGGTGTTCGTACTGCGACCGTCGAAGTCTCGAGCGCGTTTGCGCTGGACACGGCTGCAAAATCAGAAAAAAAAAGGCTTAACCTGCTTTGTTGTTCATGGCGATTCCGGCACTCGCAGGCTCAAAGCCTGAGATTCGGAAACAAGCGGGGTGTCCTTGCACCAAGCAGTTACATGTTCGAGTAACCTGCGCGTAACCACAGTAAGTTGTGCATGCCACTACTCCGCGCAGATGAGGATGCTAGCTTGGTGTCATGATCCAAGAATGCCAACAACGACTCAGAACTCACACAAACTTGTGGGACGATGACCAGACCATGCCCATGACTATGCGTGTGACTATGAGTACGACTGCTTGGCATAAAGAATACCACAATAAGGACCACTCCCAGGATTGCTGTGCACACCAGCCTCGTTAGTGCGACTCTTGTGCTTCACACGTATCGGTGGCAGGACTAGTCATCGTCGTAACAACAACAGCCGCCATATCTCATCATCATCACCATGATCATGACAATCATCATGACTATCGTCATCATCATCATCCTAGTAGTAGTCGGTCATAGTCGTAGTCGTACCTGTCGCTGTCTTAGGAGCAGCAGCAGCAGCAACAGCAGTAAATAGCCATCGTACCACCCATGTGCACATCTACTGGCAGTACCGGAATCTGTTCTTTATCAGGTTCTCTTGGTAGCTTAATGGCGACCTGGCGTTGCAGAACCAGGCAGCGGTGGTTGATCTCATTCTTGCCCACTTCGAGGACAGTCTTCTGAATGTGATCGATTTGCCTCAGATCCAGCAGGCTTATTCAGCGAGATGCCCTTAGCCCCTGCATGACTTAAACGATGAAGCAGCCTAAACCTTAAACCAAGCAGGTCCGACTACCGTCGATGTGAGGCTCACCTTTGACTTACGAGCGCCAGCTGGAAAAGAACTGCCGGATCAAAGCGAAAGAGGCCGGGCTCTGCTGTAGATCATGAGAAAAGTCAGAGACTTTGTCTTAAAACGAAACAAAAGGGTGCACACATGGTGCGTTGTGGGGTACCCCATATGCAGACAGCGAGAGATGTAGACAGCTATAGATGGATATAGATATGGGTGTGTGTTGAAATGCATGTACTTACTGATCGTTTATTTCCCGTTTGCTCAAGAAGACCATACATGACCATACCAAAACTCATTTTCTTGTTATGCTCGCACGAAGAAAGCGCATGCAGGAGATTCTCACCCCCAAGCCCTAAGCCCAGTAGTGCGCCAGGAGTCCACAAGATGTGAGCTTGGACTGCCTGCTCCACCGTCTCTGGTGAGAACACCACGCATCGGGGCCGACGAGTTATCCTGGAGTGGGGTTTAATGTACAGGGGTTCGTTTGACACACTGAGGATGGAGCGAGCTGACAGTCTGACAAGTCAAGACGAACAGCAAGAACTCACGCGGAGAGGAGAAACAGAAGCATGACGTAATGGGAGAAGGCGAGCCCTTCAAGCGTCAAGTGCACTTGTGCCCCGAATGCTTGCAAAGAGTTAGCGTAAGGGCATAGCGATTCAATGAATCGATCACAGGACATGCTGCACCTTGCTGTACTTCGAGATTCTGACTTTGAGTCAATAGGCACTAGATTCACTAGATTACAGCTTCTCGTGATTACCGTCTGCTCGGCTACCTGCTCCCTTATTTTCGAATTCTGTGCAAACAGATATACATATATATATATATAACATACACACATACATACATACGTACATGTATAGGAGTTTACAACCAGTCAGTTCTTCTTGTGTGTTCTATTCTCAAACTTGTCAAGGGGCCAAATCTTGTCCCGTTATCCAAACGTTCCAAATCTGTTTGCCTCACAGCCCTGCAACAACGACTGTTTTGTTCACATCATGTCCGTGGATCACCGCTTGCTAAGATGGCAATGGGGCAAAAACGAAGCCGCGTGTTCAAGATCTTGCGCATCACGAGATTATCCTTCTGGCCTGTATCGAAACCCTGCTTTGATGCGGGCCTACAGCGTTCACACGGGGCTCCTCTCGTCTGCCGGCAGACACAGGCCACGGTTCTCGTGGTGCTGCTTTATGACCTCATGGGGTGAAAGACCAGCACAGGAATAGACACGCCATGCCTTTGTGCAGACATGCACCATCATGCGTCCCTCCGAACCGAACGAAGGTAGCTCACACCCATTTCATCACTCGTGCAGTAGTTGTTTTTATCTTGTGCTGCCTTGGACTGCCAGTATTCGTACCCGGCTATGTAGTCGATGGCATGCCTTCCCATCTCTGTTGACGATGTATGTATACATATATATATATA